GACTGCTGGAGTCACCATAGGACCTTTTTGGTCGGGAATGCCCATCGCCTGACCAATCGGGGCACCATTGTTCAGTTGGCCCCGTAGGAGCGGGTGAGCTATCACCTAGCAAACTGGCCACAGGCCGCGCACGGATTTTTTAGGGTCAACGTATAGTCGACGAGTAATCCATTTCTGGAAGATCTTGAGGGGAAAGAGGATGATCTTGAAGGGGACGAGGGCGGGCCTACCTTGGTATCCTGAAAAAGCGTGACATTGACAACTCAACCCTCGGCTTGCCAGGTTTCTCGGCTTTGCCTGATGGCCATGATTCAGAGAAGCTAGCAATGGCAGGTACGCGCTCAGACGTCCCCAAGTGTATGAGCGCCCTCTTCGTTGGGCATCCAGCTCAGGTGGTAGGGATGCCTAGGGTTTAGGAGTGTTTAGTCAGAGCAAGTGGATGCGAACGGCAATGCGGGTCAAGACTGGTTGCCGACTTGATGCTCTGAGGCACAGTGTTGATTGTCGTGATGGCGAAACCTTGAACCTGTTCTGGGAGTCTGTGAGATTGAGTTTCACCGTGAAAAGTATTTCTGAAACTTATGCGTAATGGTCGAAAGGTAAGCACACCTACATGCAGGTCACGAGAAATGAACGTAGAACCCTGCGGCTCCGTCAACACCCTGGCCGCTGTTGAATCTTCGTGCTGCTTGGGACTCAGAAGTTAGGTGCACCCTTCGCCCATAGGGCGTCCTGCATAGCCCCTTAACCGTTAACCATGGGAAAGCTTTCGGGAGCATGCACGTCTAAGGGTCTGAAGGCGTGATCAGGTAGGTCCCCCCTATAGCTTGAAGTGGGTTGTGCCGACGATTAGCTGATGCTTCAGCTTCCATTTTCCAGAGGGGTTGATCCCCTGCTTCTGAAAATTCAAGCAATCGACATGTCCTGACCATTTCCCTTAGCTTAGAATCAGGGTGTACACACACACACACACTGACATCCGCCCCTTTGTCAGAGCAATCACCGGCTAGGGCTCTTTCTCGAACCCGTTTGACAATCATCACCTGCTGTAGCTCATCCGCAGAACATGCTCGGGTGGCGTAAGCAGCTCATGGTAACTCACCTTTCTGCGCATGCATGCACGTTGCAAGACAAGCAGGGTTCCCTACCAAAACGCGAGCCCGCTAACCACGACAGGGGTCGCTTTAAGAATGATGAGCGGCCTGAGGGTCCAATGAGCAGGGGCTTGGGTGCTTCGCTGGTCGAGCTTTCGAATCACATCCACGGCCGGTGAGAAGAAAAGGGAAAGCCACAACAAGCTTGCAAGAACAGAAAATTGCCGATACGAACAAGACCTTGCCTGATGCGAGCCGTGCCGAGCTGTTGCCCCAACATAGACATGGAACGAGCGGATGATCATGTCGGCTCTGCGACGCAGGCAATGCAATAGGCCTAGGTCTAGAAAAGCCTGCCCGTGATTTTGACCAGAGCTGTGTGTTGACCAACGCCACGCCGAAATACCTGATTCGTATCATGTCATAAAGAAGCAGGAGTTAGTTGAAAGTCAACACCGTGAACCAAGCAGGTTTCAGTTTTGAACTTATGCGTGTTAGAGTACACTCCTAGGGTTTACATCGTGTTCGAGAATTTGAAGCAACCTGCATTTGACTGAATTTGAGAACTGTTCACCAGTCAACTGTTACATGTAGTATTTAGTAAGTTTAGTAGTTAGCTAGCACATACTTGCTTCAGTACTCCCCGGTTACCCGCCTGTGCATAAACGAATTTTTGCAACTCAGCTGCTGCACACGCCAATTATCTTTTTTCTGCGGAACAAGGGCAGCCATGGATAATCCTATGAGAACACCTGTTGCAACAAGAATCTTTTGCTATTCAAGCTTGGGGTCTGTTCTCGTGAAACAATAGTCTACCTGAGTGACGGGCTGTCTATCCTACAATCTCCTAGAAGCAGCTTGCCTTGCTCCAGCCATAGTACAATGCCTGAGAGCCCTCAATCCTTTAGGTACTCTGGTCTGTTCACTGGGAGGCTCAGCATCATTAACATCAACGGTCGATGGAAGAATCTCAGACGCTATAAAAGCTGGCCAAAGAAACCCAAGATCACGATCAGGATCCGAATCAGTAGTGGCAGCCACTCCAGCATCGTCCAGGATGTCACACCGTCGATCCTCAGTCTCAGTTGCTACCTGGCTCGGGACTGAACTCTGAACACGTAGGTATATTATTCCGCGCTCGATAAATCCTCCACAGCGCTAGAAGATTCCATTCCAATAGGTTAACGTTCGTTGAGCTTAGCATCTAGCTTAGTCGGTGATCTAAAGCTAAAGCGATCATGAACGGAAGCCGCCATGTCGCCTAACTTGACAACGCTTGAGCTATCAGCTTGCAGGTTCAGGAGGGGCGGGAGGTGGGCATTTGGAAACCATGCGCACCTTCTTGGCTCCAGGTTTGGCGGCTCGGACTTTGGCTTCAAACTTGGCTTTACCGAATGCACTCGGGCCTGAATTCTAGAGGGCGCAGAACCGGCCGCATTACCAGTCCACGACTTGTCGCCGCGACGATGCGCGAGAATTCTCATCAGTGTGGACGATGGTCGTACCGTCGAAGTAGTTCTTTTGGGTTTTGCGATGACCGGTCAATCTGGATTCATTCATCTTAGGCAGTGCTTGCCACTGCCGAGCCAATGTGTGCAGCACATAGCGCAGCTTTACATGATACCTAGTTTGGGGTAATCGTGTTTCCTTGAGTGACCACCAATCCATCTTGTGAAATTGCCTGGTCATTGCGAGGCCTAAAGAAGTTGTCCTTGTCTTTCGCTACAGCAATGAAATCTTCAGCGCAGGACTCATGATCGAAGCTGCAATCAATCACATCCGTGACACCGCGCAGGTTCCAGTCAACGCCCATCGAATCCAGTCAATCTCATCAAGCACCAACAAGTCTCGACTCATGATGGTTCACAACTCTTGCAGTATGAGACGGAATATTGTCACCAATATAAAGATGGACACACATTGAATTACCGCCGCAATCAAGCTCACTGATTCGCTTCCCAATGATGTTCAATGTCTCTCCTGAAATCGATCTGAAACAGGAGAATATGCTCCAACATGATGCAATGGATAGTCCTTCCCGAACCAGGGAGGAGCACACCTAGCTGAAACACCTCTATCGAACAGCCCCCAGCTCTTGTCAATAACACCGGACTGCAAGTGAAACTCTGCAAAGGGATCCTTGGAATCTTTCTCTGCAGGAGGTTGAGCAACGGGCTCGGAATCATCTGCGGAGTGACACACCGGTTCGCTAGAAGACAATGTGCCAATCAGCATCAAAGCTCCTACAAACAGTGTGCTGAAAGGGTCTCGAGCGACCGCCCACTGCACGAGAAGACGAGGCAGGCAATGTTGCAGACACTGCCTCAGATCCCTCGTCAAGTTCTTCAATGATAGGTTGACCTATGACCGCACTGGTCTCCCATAAGCACCTTGGTGTTCCCAAGTGCGCCAAGACCAACCATCATGCTACCAAGAAAGATCGTTCCGGTCCAAATCATCTCCATCATCATGCCCGACATTCATAACAAGACCCACCGTTCGTCTCTGGAACATGTCCCTGAAGCTCCACCGGGAACTTCGTAGACCCTCCAGTGTTTTATGTCTGCGCGCCGAAGGGAAGCGCTCAGTACGTAGCAGGAAGAGGAATTGCAGACACGCCCTGCGCATTTTCATACTCTCCGCCGTCTGAACCTCATGAACTCCACGCAAAGCCCCTTGTTCAGGCCTTCCAAGTGGTAGCTGTTGCTTTTGTGGTAGATCACGCGGTCGCCGAGGAGATTCAAGACGGAGAGCTGGCCTTCGAGCGACTGACTGGGCAGCTTCCTGAGGCATTTCTGAAATGTAGATCCCTGCGTAGGCATAGTCGGCTGAGGCTGAGGTGCTTGGCCTGCTGTTGTGTTGCCTGATTGAGTTGCTAAGTTGCTGAGTAGGCTGCTGTGCTTGTGATGCACCACCCCTGCTACTCTGACCGCTAGCCAAGCTCCCTCCAGGTACGCCTCCCACTGCTTCATACGTCGTCGCCCAGTCCGGTGTTACGCGCTTGCTGCGTAGCTTCCGCACTAGAGTGTCTCGGCTCAGTCGCCTGAACATTCCGTGGAGAAACATTATGCAAAGTCACGCCAGCACTCTCGCTGAAGCCTGATCTGTTGCGCAGGCTGTCTCTGGCCCAGTCCTCATTATACTCCTTCCAACACAGGCAGTTGTCCTGATCGGTTGTCCTGATAAAGGTTGGGTACTCACAACCTGCAGATACAGCAGTGCGGAGTGCTCTGCTGTCGAGGGTCTTCAGGCCTATTTTCGGCTCCACCAAAACGGCATCTTTTTTTTTATAGACTTCCGAAGTTCTAGCTGGCTTCTGCCGATCATGGCCTGCTGGAAGCTTGACAGCACAGGACGATGCATGCATGCTCCAGCCAAGAGATTCAACTAATTCGACATGAGCGCTCAAGGTTTCCACAGAATCCTATTGTATCTGGGGCCAGATCGACCAGAGTGTCTCGGATGCAACCAAGGCGCTGTCGGCGAAGTCCTACGGAGGAGCATGTGTGGCATCTACTCAAGCAACCTTACAGAGGAATTTCTTTGAGTGCGCGCCATCCTGGCAGGACAGCCGAGCATCTCGAGCAACAATGGCTTGGCCACCCAGGGCCTGAGCGCGATGATGAGACTTCCAATCCTTTTGGAGGGAAGCATTTGCTTAAATCAGTGTCAGATGCTTCTTGGGCCTCTGAACCCGATCGTCGCAGAATAAGTTCCTCAGTCATCAATTGAACGGAAATGTCGTTTACGTTGGGAACAAGAGGCAAAGGAGCATCAGACATTCTTCCCGCGAGAGCGAAGTGCACGGAAGCTTGTTTTCTTACAAGAAGAACCGTTTCTCAAACGTGTAGTTGAGACACCTTGTGGACATCCTGTGCGCCTCCGACACCGTGTAGATTCCTCTTCATGCAGGTCGTTCATAGATCAGGCACGTTTAGGTCGGCCGAAGCACATCGACCTTGCATATCTTTGGATTCAGGACCAGCGATCTCGGAACATATTTGACCTGAAGCCGACTCCAACGAACTTTTGCCCTCCGGACCTGGCAACCAAGGCCATGAGCAGCGTGCCTGCCAAGATGTTGTCCTTTACCGCCGGCGTCTGTTTAGTGCTGGGCAGCTTCTTGAACAAGAAGAATTCGAAGAGGACTTGGCGCATGAGCAGCTGAAGAAAACTCAGCAGTGTAAGGAAGGTGTTGCGTGGAAGTCAGCTGGAAGAGTGCTTGCTATGCCGATTGCGGCTGATGGCATAACCATGGCGGACATAACGAAGATTGTGTCTCGAGCACCAAATTCCTTTTTCATGTGGGTGCCTTGGATACTTGTCCTCATTGCGGTGATCCTTCTGCTGCTGTTCTTCACCACGCATACGCAGGGCGAGTTCGGCAGCAACGTTTTGGTGAAAGGTGAACCTGAACACAGTGACCACAACTCCGACGGCTACAACCCGACTGGGGACTAGGAAGCTTGAAGAGAGTGCTTGGTACTATGGTACATCCCAAGAGAACGCTTTTGCTGAGAATGCATTCTATGTCATAGCTCTCTTCGGATATCAAGTTGGACTTCCAGGACTACGTTAGTACGTCGACCACGACCCGTCACACAAGTACCTGAAGCACTTCTTCACCATAGACTGAGATTCTCGTGGAGTCGCGGTGGGCGGGAAGGACCCAGGACAGTGGTTCATGAAGATGGACAGGGGCCGCGTGAACAAGGTGATCTACCACAGCGTGGAGATCAACCTGAAAACCGGCTTCGCGAGTGTCCAGCTGTTCGTTCTGGCAGTAATCCGCGTGATCCTCATGGAGATGATCAACCGCAAGGTGAGGGAGATGAGTGGAGTGAAGTTCCTCTTGAAGAAGTCTACGGACCAGAGGCACCAAAAGAAGTGCGGTTATTCCTACTCGCAGGGGTTACTCGACTGGGAGTTGCGCAAGCAGCTTTCGACTGAGTTGCTGTGGAGGCTTTCGAGAACTCTGAGAGCCCGAGTCCAGTGACGGAGAGCAAGTGTGGATCATTGGTCAAGGCGTTGCTTTTCATAGAGAGTGTTGTGGAATGGTCACCAAGGGTAAGAAAGCTGGCGAAACCAAAAGCATGTCTCGCAAGTTCACTGTCGAGTTGAATTACAAGTCCTGAGGACAATGCGAACCTTGAGTGTTTCAAGAAGTTCGACAGCTGGTGAACCGGGTTGGCCGGCCTGCGAGTTCGAGCCGCAAGTTCTGTTGATCCTGTTTTCAGTAGTTTCCTCTGTGAAGCTAAATGCAGAAAAATACAGAATGTTGGATGGTGCATTAGGTACCATTTCGCGACAAAGTCTGAGTTCCTGGAAGCCTGTATGAGCTACCAGGAAAGTGCCCAACTGTGGACCCCTGTTTTACCATCTAACATGACTTATGTTCATCCGCTGGGCGGTGGGATTGAAAGCTAGAGTTGACAGTTGAGCACAGATGTTCGAGTCGGTGGCTCAAGGTGTGCAAAAGAAGAGACCGTCAACGTTTGTTGGGTTTTTAAACGGCCAGCAGAGGGATTGCGAGCGTAGGGACCAAGACAACGACAGCCGAACATCAACGTCTTCTTTAAGCGACAGCGTGCTGCTCCAGAAAGTAACCGAAGCTGTCCTAGTCCAGAACAACTACCTCTCGAGATCTCACGAGGTTGCCGAGCGACCACACTGTAATCTCACTTTCATAAATGGGGGCGGCCCTCCTCTGATGGTGCCGATGATGCTCGAGTGTGCGGAGAATTGAAGGAAAAAGCGAAATGTGACCCCGTCGCAGGTGACCCAAATCCTTCAAGATCGCCCTACTTCAGTTCTTGGTCGCGGAATTCGTAAAGCGAGTCGACTTGTTTCAAGCAGACGAGACGATCCAGAAGAAGGCCCAAGAACAAGGGTGGTTGAGTCGGAGAACGAGTGGAATTTCCTCGATTGGAATGCATAAGAACAGAGATTGGTTCCTCGCCAGGAGGAAGCCAAACTGACGATGGATCAAGTCATGGTGGACGCGAAGAAGCTCAAGACGCTGATCAAGGACCCGGCCTCGTACTGAGGTTTGCCGCGTCGAGAACCCTCATGCCGGACTACAAAGGAAGACAGCAACGTTCATCCTAGAACTGTTCTTCCTCACGCCCGCTGCAGCTGAAGCAAAGGTGATTTTCAAAAATGGTTCGCGTCAGCTGCCCTGCTGCTGTCGGTGAGATTGAAGCCGGCACGCCTAGTGCGCTCACGAAGGAGATTCAAGAAGCAGTGGGGTGGTGAATGGTCCGACCGTCAGTGATCCGACTATGCCTCCTGGCTTGGCTCAACCTGTTCGACGAAACCCCGAACAACCTGTGCTATCTCCACTCGTCGGTGTTTCTCTTGGCGCATGCATGGCAAGCCCATTACCAAGGTGGCCCCTCCCGGGGTGCTGCAGGGCTGGGTCACGCACTGCAGCTATACTGAGGCCCTATGGTCAAGTTAATCCTGCGTGCATGAAATTGCTTGATTTGTTGGCCTGGGCAAATCCGCATCACCCGACATGAGCTGGACTTCGTCACATGCCAACGGGATGCCCGTCCTATCCCCTGATCCGTTGAATCTCGTCGACCCCGTGTTTGCGGATCTGTCTGAATTATGCAGAACCCGATCCACCATTCAGGAGTGTGTGCATCTCCGGCACCTGCAGCAGCCACCGCACGGTCTTCTCATGCCAGCGCCTTTTTATGCTTGTCAGTCTTGCGCGCTGTGCTGATGCCGCTCAGGAGAAAAACAGCATCTGCAGCACGTCCCGTGCCAGGCCCTTGCATGCACAGGTCTGTCTCCCACGCTTTGAGGATGCGGCGGATCGCATCAAGTGGATGCCGTACCGCATCATGGGGGCATTGTCCATGTAGGCCCTTCGCTTCAAAGTGCCCACTATCGAGCCATTCTGGCGCATTCTGGAACAATGCAAACTCAGGTGCCATCATCTTCACCAAGCCTATCGACCCGCTCGGGTAGGCCGCGGCCGCGATGGTTGATGGTGTAAAGGCTCAAGTCTGCCATCACACCTATCAGCACACTCTGAACGAGAATTGCTACATCTTGTGATTTCAAACTTTGGAATGAACTTGGCGACGTCAGATTTCGGTCAGCCAGTGTTTCACCTGCTTGGTCCCCGCGAGCGGGGTGGGTAGGATCTCTGAGTTGGCCGCACCATAACGGTGTGTGGTGTGCCGCCCATGGGACAAGGATATTGTTCTGCGGATGCAAAATCAGAAAAACCTCGAATCTCTCTCTCTCTATCTCTCTCTCTCTCTCTCTCTCTCTCTCTCTCTTTCTATATCTCCCCGACTGCATTGTGCGTTCATTTGCGCATGGTGAATTGATACTGATGCTGATGCCCGGTTAGAGACAATACCAACTTTTCATGGTTGCAACACCGCCTCTGCCGTTGCTTGATAAATCAAAATCCGGCTAGGGTTCATACATGTGCCTGCGGTCGTGCAGGACAAGATGGGTGTGGAGATGACTGACCAGGCTTTTGCATTGCTTGGCAAGCGTGAAGCAAGTTAGTAGAAGAGTGGAGCATCAAGGATCAGAGTGAAATCGAAGCCTTCATTTTTGAGCACCTTCCAACCGAGAGTGTGAAGCTCAGCCAACCCAGCAAAGCTCTCAAAGCGGCGTAGCATGCGCAAGTCACAAGAAAGGATCGCTACCACCGAGGCACTGATTTGATATGGAGGGTTTACAAGGCTGTGCCCTTAACCGCACATGCAAATCCGTCTACCATTGGCAAGCAGTTAAATAGAAATGCCTTTGCAGACAACTGAATGAGGTTTTACATCTCGAGCAGGAACGGGACAGATGGCAGCGTGCTGTTGCCACGAAAGAAGCCGCCACACTGCCCGAGCTGATCAAAAAGAGCTACAAGGACAAGCAGCGCATTTGTCTTTGTTTCCTCACAGTAGATGGGACACATGCTTCAGGGCAGCACGTTTCGAAAGAGCAGATTCCGCAGCTACACAAGCGGAAAGTCAGCGGAAGGGGCTCCTGCTCGCGGCGACAACCCGCTGAAAGGTGCCAACGAATCCGCTCCACGTGTGAATGTTACCTTTCCGCTGCTTTCCCTCAAGAAAGTGAGAGCCAGTGGTTTCCTCAGTGATTTACCAAAGTATTGCCCCGAAATCGCATATCCGTGCGAAGCAGAATACCGCTGACTTGCGCCTGTGTTCGGGCATGGGCTTTTTAAGATGGTGCACCAGTCCCATCCTGGGCACATGGCTGTCAGACTCTGAGATGCAGTGTTGTGCGTCTGTGTGAACAACTCCATAGCACAAGCATGGTACGGGCCCTGAGAAGTGAGGTTAGCATCTTGCACAGGCCTTACTCTTCGTAAGCCTCAATTTCCCTCCGCACTACGCTTCGTTTCATTGCTGACGAGCCTTTGCAAAGTCTTGCATCTTTGGCTTTGTGGCTTGGTTGCGTCCCGAGGTTGGCTGCAAGTGGCAGCCCAAAGCAATCGAAGCGAAGGCCCTTTGCTGTGCTTTGGATATGGGAGTCCATGATTGTGTTTTGGTCGGGAAGTGCTGTTCAAGGTAGGACCGGTGAGAGAAGCCGAGCGAGGCGTGATCTCGCAAGAGCTCCAAGATAGTCTCGAGGAGCTCAAGGCAGCAGAGTGCAGCAGTGAGTCGACTCCAGCCACACCTTCTGCCAGGCTTCGATGGATAAATCCCAGGAGGTGCCCTGTGAGTTTGTTCTCCTTGTGCAACTTCCTGTCATGCAGTCTGCTCGTGCGCACGGCTGCGTGCTTTCTCAGAGGACATGCAGGCATTTATTGATCAGCAGCTGGAGCAGCTGGAGGTGTCAGTTTTGCTGGCCTTTTTCGTCACACCTGCAGGGCACTGCAGTGCCGGCATAGGAGCTGAAGCAAGAAAAGCTGAACTTGGATACGGCAAGGGAGCAGTTTGACAGGCAGAGTTCCCTCCACTGTGAGCCTCAGTCATGGAAGTGACCAGCCAGGTCTCGCAAGCACCTCGATGATGCACCTCTGGCTCTTTGCTCTCATAGAACAGAGCAAGCCCACAGCAGTCAAAGTTTGAGGCCGATGCAGCCTGGACGGCCACTTGCGCGATTCTCGTTGGCTCAGGCGACTTCTGTCTTAGATGCTTTTCCAGCTGAAGCCTTCCAAGGCTTTGCCCTGGCAACAGAATTCCTTGGCTTCACCAGACAGATCATGGACAGCCTCGAGTGCGGAGCTATGCTTCGGCCGACGGTGGGGCCTTAAGGCGTACCGGCGTACCTACAGGCTCCATAGTGTCATACATAGAGCCATAGTGCAATGGTGGCGGTCCAAAGCTCCAAAATCGACACTTTCTTCGGGACAAGAGTCAGTGATCCTGAGGTCTCGAGTCGCGAGTATTCTTGGATTCCGCGCATGCTCGGCTCGAAATTTCTGGGCTACGACGGACGACAACCTTGCACAGCCTCCCAGGTCCTGCAAACCTAGGACCTAGCAGCAGTGCCCCGCACACCGTCCAAGACTGAATGTTATGCGGCATTGACATTCGCTGAAGCCAGACACTGGTTCACCCAAAGGAAACGGTCGGGCATGCTCCATCTAATCTGGTTTCAAAGGCAGCAATCTTAAATGGTAGGCCTGGCACAGCTGCAACGGCTGCTCAAAACTCGGCGTTGCAAGAAAGGCGTCTTGTGGCCAACGATTTGCCACCTGAAGAGGTGCGGCTTGTTGCATCAACGACGAACACTTTTTTGCAGATGCGGGTTCTTGCTGGGTTATGGACCTTCGAGACTAGTTTGTTGTTTTAGACATAGATGCTCGACCGACATACAGTGGTGCCCTGAATTTGCTGCCGTACTCTAGGATGTCCGTTCCCAAGAGTAGTTGCCAGACATGCAGTTGCATGAGCCGCAGGCTGCAGAGCTGAAGCTCTTTCGCATGGTAAACGTGTGCGTTCGCAAGCGAGCAGAAGGAGGCCACTCTGCGGGAGTCCCAACCTCTACCCATTAGCCTGAGCGCGGAGCTTAGTCCTATATCCTACATCCAAAGCCGCGGATCCTTTAAAAGCGTGAAGCGTCGGTATGATTACCATTCAAAACAGCGGAACAAATGGACTTGACATAGCCTTAGCTGCGCAGTGGACCATCACAGAGAGCAGAAAGCCCGACAAGAGTACAATGGAGGGAAATGCTACGAAAGCTGGAATGCCGGCTGGTAGGAAAGAGCCTTTTGCAATCGAGTCAGACTCAACACCTCCACTTAAGACCTTTTGGAAGCTCCAACCCCGATAGAAGAAAGAGAGCAGCAGGAAATGAGGTCCCACTTCCCCGACTGTCTTTGGATTCGTTCCGTCCAGGTGAGACGTCTTCACTTGCGCTCGATCTGTTGAAGCAAGTCATGGCAGCCATGAAGACAGGCCCGGACCTCACATGCCAGCAGCAGGCAGCACTGTCACAGAGTCAGGCAAAAGGCCGCCGAAGATGCCAAGAGACTGCCTCTCAGACAGGGTCGACAGCAGGCATGGCAGCTGTACCGGTCTGTGTTCCAGGAATGGGCGGACGACGCAGACAGCGCTCTTGGCATGCTTTGTTGTGGATGCTGTAGTCTTGACAACGTTACCATGCCACCTTCCAGTGGTGATGATGACACATGATTGCGTCAGGCGAAGACGCCGCAGAGGAGGCGGTGCGTGATGTTACATGATTTCAGAGTCATGGCATACATGGGTTTGTGGCTCAAGGGAAGAAGCTTCCTCGTAGCTGAGCTGGAAACCACTCCTTCCCGAGGAGTGGGCAAATCTCTTCCATAAGCGATGGCTCCGAGTAGCGGAGGCTGGTCATACCATTTCCAAAGGATGCTGCGGCAGATGCGATCTGCCCTCAAGTTGGAGACGGAGCTCTGCTTGTCGGGAAGGCAGGGCCCGCAAACTCGGCATCTTTGCGTTCAGCCGAGTTTGCGGCCAGAGATTTTTGGCCTGGTCACGGGGATTGTTCATGAACGAGATAAGAGAATCGCCAAGCGAGCGGCGACCCGCCGCTGGTTGTGGCCTTGCTGCAGCATGATTTGGGAAGACAGGTGTGAGTATGGGCTTCCGTCGGAAGCCGAGCTGCTAGCCTCCGCGGCTAGATTGGAAGGTGAACAGCCCAGTTCTACAGGTTGTGCTGCTGTGGGTATGCAGGACGGCCTTGCTGAGGAGGTTCGTTGCCTCCCCGAGGGGCATGGCGAGGACTGTGGGCAAAGTCCTGCCAGCCGCCTTGGGCCTGGCATTCCCGAGAGAGAACTGCTCCTGCTTATGGCAGGAGATGGAGGCGATGATGGTTGGAGCGAGCCATCATGGAGTGCACCTTGTGATACGGTGCATGCTGTTGAATGCCCTCCCCCCTTTTGGGGTTTAGGCCCCTCCCCGACTTGCCTGGACTAACCTGCCAGCTCTGAACGTTCAGACTTCCGGTATGGTCAGCCACACAATGCCACACAGCAAGCTGAGCCCTCCTCCCCTTGGGTGATAGGGTTTAGGCCTCTGCCCCCCGCGTCTGCCTCTTCCCGGGTGATAGGGTTTAGGCCTTCGCCTCCTGCGTGTACTGAGTCCCCGTGCCCTCAGCCACCGCCGCAAGCTGCCGAGGTCCCCTGGCCTTTTAAGGTTTTAGGTCCCTCTCCCGATCCAATGCCGAGTGCTGAGTTGATTCCAATGGCATCCCAGATGCCTTGGCCCTGTAGGGTTTTAGGCCTGGCTGTGCCCTCCCCCAGTACTTTGCCGCCGATGCCCTCTCTGCGAGTTGGGGGCGGCCCAGGTCTTGAAGGCCTGCTCGAAGGCATCGTGTCGCAACTTATGCCCATGATCACTGAGATGATTCAGAAGGCCATTGCTGAAGCTTTGGGTAAAGGCCTCGGTGCTGAAGATGGAAATCAGGCCACCAGGGCTGACAGCTCGACAGCCGAGCCGAGGCTCAAGCGGCACAAGGGAGGCGGTCGTGACCCTAAGCGCAAAAGCCCGGAGATGACTGAGTCTCCCACTGGCAGAGGTGCGCCCAGTGCCGGAGCTGATACAGGCCCGAGTGGTGGTCGCCGTGCCGTGCGAGGCAAAGGTGCTGGCGGACAGCCGGCTGCACCTTCCACTCCAGTAGCCCCTGCAGCGCCAGCCGAAGGAGCCTGGCAGACCGTGCAGCGAAAACGTGAGGATGCAGAGCCCTTTGAGCTTCGAGGGCAAGACTGGGATGTCCCCATTGTTCCTCACGATGCCATCGGCCGTAAGCTCGATGAACTCCCCGACGGCAAGCCTTTGGAGGCAGTGATCCTGGCTTCCAAGTCCAATTTGGACACGGTGCGAACCATTCTGCGAGGCACCTCGAAGCCGCATCGCATCATGTGCGTTGAACTCAAGAAGGATGGCAAGGAGCGAATTCCAGGCAGGGTTGGAAACCAGCTTCGTTTCAAGCAGGCCGAGATTACCACCCATTTTTCGCAGGGCACTGCAGCCCCGCGGTATGCTGGGACAAAGGCTGCTGCAGTCACCATCGCTCCGATGGCGACCACCACGGTATACATTCGAATTCCGGCTGCTTACTGCAGTGCCGACAGATGGAAGGAGATCAGGGGCAGCCCAGCCAAGACGGTGGCAGCATGGGCAGCCGAGCAGAGGGTTGTCCTGGCGGATTCCTGGGGCTGGGTCGAGGAAACCCTGCCGAAGCAGGGAAAGCAATTGTTTGGGAAGGCCCGGCTAGCCGAGAAAGAAATGTCCAGCCTGCTTTGCTGTAGCGGCCGCGGGGGCATCTTCATTGACTGCATTCGGGATGCCATTCCAGCCCAAGTCCAATGGCTGGCTCGCATCGACAACGAGCCCGCCACTGCTTACCTGGAGCGAGGGCTTCGCATGTCAGCACAGCTTGGGCTTGCTTCGCAAGGAGGCCGAATCGGGGCTAGATCGGCTCGGGACCCGCATGCTGCCATCCCGAGAATCATCTGGGTTTTGCCTCACGTGCCACCTGCATGGGGACCTCCTGAAGTCACCAAGGTTCTGACGCAATCTTTCGATGACGTCACGCTTATCCACCATAAGGCGGACTGGCCGTGAGCAGCTCTACCGCTTTCGAGGAAAGCATAAATTCGGCGATCGGGATATTGTCCCTTTGCAGGTGCAGCTCGATGAAGACGGCACCACCAGTGAGGTGACCATGTGGGCCACGATTGCTCCGGTTAAGACCCCGAGCAACAAGCAGACATGGCTGCGAAACCAGGCTGTTCCCCTTATCGAGCCCAAACCGCAAGCGCTTAAGCAGGCCCCGGTCAAGGCCCCACAGACTGACAGTGAGAAGGATGAGGGCGATGCACAACAGCCGACCAGTGTTAGGGCGGTGAGCCAACGCCAGCTCCCAGCTGGTGTCCGAATCGACGAGGCACCGAAAGATGGAAGTTGCCTCTATCACTCCCTCGCGAAGGGGCTGCAATGGCTGACCGGTAAGTCTTATAGTCACCGAGACTTGAGGGCGAAAGCCAACCAGCACATTGAGAAGCACATTGAGCAATACTTGCCGGAGTTCGATGGCCAGGGACCTAGCCACGAAAAGCTTCGCGAACAGCATCCTGGGGACGACCTTGCTGCGCTCAAGGCCTACCTCAAATTAGCCGCATGTGAAAGTGCCTACGCCAGCAATCTCGAGATCAAAGCGCTCTCGAGGATTTACAATGTGTGCATCGTCGTGGTGCCAAGGGATCCCCGGTTTGGCACTCTTACCTTTAAGGAGAACCGCCGGGCTAAGACTATTGCCCTTTGGCTGACTCCCAAGCATGTGGACTTGCTTCTGCCAACTCAGCCTGATGCAAGCTACCCTGAGGAGCTCTTCGCTCCTAGCCCGGGCCAGGTCATTGATCTCCGTGCCGGGGGCCGCTCGGTCGAGAGCGCACCTTCCAAACGCAACCGAAGGTCCAGCGCCTCCACGGCCAGCAGCCAATGGACCCGTGCATCTGATGCCGTCCCCTCGACTCGGCCAGTGCCTCAGCCTAAGGTCGGCTGGCAAAGTGCAGTGCTGCCCTCCGTGGTAATGCAGGTCCTGCTTCTGTTGGAGGCTCCTCCGTTCGTACTGGCGCCGTGTGGTCTGCCACTGGTTCCCCTGGACAAGTGCCACAGCCGTCCCAACATCGGGCGCACGGGCCACCGAGCATTGCTGTACAGACTGTGTGGACTTCCCAGCCTTGTCGTGATAGCGCTGCTGGTCTCACGGGCTCGGTGGCCTCTGGGGCCGCCGACGTTGTTAGTGTGTCGGCCTGCATGCCTGATGCCCCTGCGACCCCTCAAAGTTCGGAGCCCCGCCGACGCAAGAATAACCAGCCTGACCGTTCTCATGCGAAACAGGGCCCTGATATGAAGTCCCGGTTTGTGTTCAAGTGTGAGCTGTGCCCCTTCCGTGCCACGCGTTCCGACTGCAAAACTTTGACCACCCTCAAGGCTTCTCATATGAATCAGTGCCACGGTGGCGAGGGCCTCCTCCCCAGACTCGCTAGCCACAAATGGTTCGCGAACCAAGGTCGGGCTGCTGACTTTCATTGGCGGTGCCCGTTGTGCCGTACTGGTGTTGCAAAGGTCAGAGACCAAATCTCATCCAAGCGCCTTCGCGACCTCATTCGTATGCATAAGGACCACCGTCACCCTGAGGTTCCCAAGGCGGAGTGGCGAGCTCTGATGCGAGCCCCGGGGGCCGGCCTCGCTGCCAAGAAAAAGCGTGCCGTGCGATTGGGCAGAAGCAATGTTGAGACCATCCGGCGCCACATGCCGCCCCACATTGTTCCCTTCACGATGCCTGTCCCACTTCGTTCACACAAAGGCCCGTGCCCCATTGATCAACGCACTATTGTCAAGATCAAGTTCGTCAGCTACTACAAGTGCAGACGGTGCGGCCACATCACCAACCGTGGCCCTAAGACGATTCAGCCTCACCTTGGCGACTCATGTCCGTCGGTCCGGGCCGAATGGATGATGCAACGTTTGCTCCGCAAACTTGATGCTATGAGCGAGTGGGCCAAGACCCACAAGGTTGCAGGTATGTCCCGGCCCCAGGTGCAGGAGATTTTCACTTCGGCACGCCAAGCTGTGAAGGAGCCTCCACTGCAGGGTTCATCTCCTTTCTGACGTGCAACTTGGCTCGCAAAGGCATCGCGACTGTGGATGCCGTGCGGGCTATGCTCTCTCAAGAATCGACGCAGCTTGCCGCATTTCAAGTCAAGAGGCGGACATCAACCCACCCTCGGCTGCTGGTTATGTGGCCGCTTGGCGCCGACACAAGTTCCAGGCTGTGCTTAGTCCTCTGGATGCTCGTGGCATGCACCGGGTTGCGTTGATTTCCTGCTTGCCCCTCCGGCCGGTCCAGCTCCCCAGCCTCTGTTGTGCCGACCGTGTTGCCGCTGGCGTGCTGGCGTGGCCCCATGCCAAGGGTCCCACTTCGGTGTTAGTTGTTTCCTTCTATGGCTACCCGAGCGATGCGCCTCGTACTTTTCAGGCCTTCGAATCCTTGATGTGTGCTGTGGCCACCTTCGGAGGGCCCTTCGTGATCCTCGGGGACTACAACATCACCCAACTTGAAGGCCCTCTTGCTGCCATGCTCGCCACTGGGGCTGTTCGGGCTGCTGACGAATCTGATGGGGGGCCACACCCCAACACGAACCCTACCGACACGCGGCGCATTGACTTCGCGGTGACCCACCCGAGCCTCTTTGCTTCTCATGTGCGCACTTTTCGGTTGCCTGCAGTCTCTGACCATGGGATTGTTCGGGTGGATTTCCCGACTTCCTGCTTTCCTCCCTCGTGGAAACGGCCTTCTTTTGCACTGGCTCCTGTGCCTGGCGAGGCCCAGCCGCTGATGCGCCCGACCCGCGGACATCACTGCACATTTGGCAACGGGTCACCTGGACATGGCATGGACTTGTCTTTCGGACTGGGCCGAGGCCTATTTAGGCATCACGGCCCCGCCTTGCCCCCGCAGCGCTTCCTGGCTCCCCGAGTCCAGACCCACTCCGAGTGGCTTTCCTGGCAAAGATGGTCATGAGCCTGCCCCTTTGAGTGCTCTTCGCCGCCTGGCTCGTCGTTTGTACCAACTGGAGCAGCAGCCTTGGGATAATCAACTGTTGGCCAGCATCGCGCGATCCCTGCGCCGGGTCCGCGACTTGACCCCTGACCTGCCCCACCTTGACCTTAGCAGCCCTGGGGACGCCCGTGCAACTGTCGACGCCATTATTGATACAATGCACGTGCAACACCGCCAGCACTGCTTGCAACGATGGAAGGAGAAAACTGCCCTCTCCTCGGAGACAGCCCTGACTTGGGTTAAGCATCGTGCCGATCTTGAGCTTCGCATGCACTCGCCTTCGCCGTTGCATGAAGTTGACAGGTCGCAGGTCCACCCGGCCCAAAGGGTGAAACAACAAGGTGAGGAGTGGACTCGGAAATGGCAGATGCCCACCACGCCTCCTGACTGCCTTCAGTTCCAGCGGCTCTTGCAGGATATTCCTAGCTGTCCGACTTTTCAGCTCGACCTAGAGCCCAGCCCCACCGAACTCCGTAAGGCTGCGATGAAGATGCGCAAACGTGCACCGGGTCCAGACGGGTGGACTGGGGACATGCTCTTGCGTCTGCCTAGCACATGGTGGGATTCACTCTCGGCCTTGTGGGCGCAGGTGATCCGTACTGCAAAGGTCCCCAACCTCTGGCAACGGTCCATCATTTGTTTGTTGGATAAGGGGCACAGCGCCACGCGCCCCATCGCCTTACTTCCTTTGGTGTGGCGTGCGGGGGCCGGAGTTATCGCTCGCAAGTTGAAGGGCTGGATTTGCCAATGGTGTGATCATCGTGCTGTTGGTTCTGCCCCGGGACGTTCGCCCATCGACATGCACCGCCGCCTGTTGTGCGCCTGGTCCTCTCGTTCACCTCCGAGCGGTGGCACCGTTCCCACCATGGCCTGCTGCAGGGTTGTCCCCTGTCCCCTCTCCTTAGCCTCACGATTGGCTTCTTGTGGTCCCAACATGTGACCCGACCGGGTGTGGAAGCTGGCATTTACGTCGACGACCGGATGCTCTGGCTTACTGGCCAGGACCAGCCACACGAAGTCGCCCAGGCCGCTCTTCGTCGAAGCGACCAGTTTGATCGTGCTGTGGGTCTCACTTGCAGCTGCAAGAAGTGTCATCTTGTCACGACCCTTCTGGCATGCCCGTGGCATGTTGAGGCTGACGCCCGCGGCTACGAGATTGGATCGACCTTGAAATTTCTCGGCGTGGAGCTTGACCTTGCCTCGGGGGATGCTGTGCCCCTCAAGCTCAACCTTCACAAACTGCAGGTGCGCCTACGGCACACGACTAACCCGGCCTTTTCTTTCGAGATCCGCAGGCAGGTGATCCGGTCCTTGGTCTTCCCTGCCTTGTTTTGGGCTGCCGGGGTCGCCATGCCTTCGCCCGCCACCTTAGAGGCCACTCGGCAAAGCATCGCTGCGGTGTTGCGCGTCTCGTTGTCTCATGAGGCCCCTCGGGTTCTTGTTGGCCAGGTCCTCGGTTGGACTTTGGACGTCAGCTGGGTTGCCGACTGGAGTGCTCTTTCTGCCCTTATTCGGGCGCTTGTGGAGCAGCCTGATTGGCAGGAGCACCTTTCCCTGCAAGAGCTTTCTTTCCTCCGGACCTCCAGTCTCCCTGGCGCTAACACCGTCCTGCTGAAACTCAGGTGGCGATTGGACCCTCAAGGTCGCGCAATTGAGCGTGTTGACGACACCGGCTGTCTTCGAACTTACCGTTTCGGAGAGGACTCCCCTGATGTCCTTAAAGGTTGGCTCACCGAGGCGCACAAAGCTGAAGCCACCTCGCGGTGTGGCCGTGTGCGCAAGAAGTTGCACCGACACGACCCATCCCTAGCGGTTGGTTTAGACCTCCCCCGCCCCGAGGGTTGCCGTAGGTTTGATTTTCATGGGCGCCGACAGGTCTATGTGAAGGCTAGCACACCAGCCGAAAGGTATGCTGCTCTGGCATGTGGTGGTACAGGCTGGCATTTTGATGCTAAGCACTCTTTGACTGGGCCGGTAAAGTGCCTCTGCTCCAAGCTCTGGCCCTCCCGGGCACATTTGCTTTGGAGTTGCCCAGACTTTGCAGCGGAGAGATCCAGCATACCTGCCCCTGTGGACACGGCAGAGGAGCGGTTACTGGGCAGACCGGTACTGGAGTACCCGCCTCCCCCCGACACTGGTATTCGCGCTCTACGTCCTCAAGTTCTTCGTCTCCTGGAACAGGCGGCTGATGCTGGACAACGGGACCTTTTAATCGCGTTTGACGGCTCTAGCGAACAGGGCATCGGTACTTTTGCGGCGGCTTGCCTAAGCCCCCGCCTCGACATGGCTGGGGCTGACGCAGGCGAGGACCAAAGCCCATTTCGCATGGAACTGCTTGGCATCCTGGGTGTGCTCGAGGCCTTGGAGTGTACCAATCACCCGCCGCGGCGGGTGACTCTGCTGGTCGATTGCGAGGCAGCGATCAAGTCCATTTGCTGCCCTGCCGGATGTGGTCACTACAGTCTGGCTTCCAAAGCTCAGCTGGCGGGCGCTAAAGCTCGCCAACGTGGCATTTCCTGGACTTTTGTCTGGACTCCGAGTCACGGAAAGAAACCAGGCTGGTCGCCTTTGCCCCCGCTACAAGCTGGAACTTGTCGAATGCTGAATCAAGCCGCCGACGACTGTGCCAATCGTTTGCGGCGATTTCGGCACAGAGGCTCTCAACGCGAAGCTTGGCATGTGGCCCTTGCGCAGGCCAGTGCCCTGGAACAACGTGCAGTTCGTCTTTCAGCCTTTACCTCCAAAACTTTGGAGGCTCGTCTGTGTACAGAGAAAAGCCAGGCTCAGCACCTGGATGATGTACAGCTCCTCTGCTGAGCTCTGAAGCCGACCGCCCGGCACGGGACCAACTTCTGCTGGCCCGTGGACGTTTGCACCCGAGAACAAAAAATACATGGGTTTGTGCCGCAGACAGTTGGTGAGAGCTAGGTGAGCTGGCCAACTGCAGGTGCGGGAGCAGTCTGACAAGCTTTGGGACCTGATGCGAGCGCAGGTCGGGCCAACTTAACGGGAGCGGTCGTCAAGGTCAGGCTTCAGGAATCTTTCTAGAACACTGGTGCAGAGCTGCGAAGCGATAGTTTTTTGTAAACTACCACGTAGATCTTTGGGGAGATCTTTCGATGTTCCCTACACACAGCAACTGATTCTGGCTTGATTATTCCAAGTTTCGACAATCAGGCAGACGTTGCTGTCAAAAACAACCACTGGACTAAGCGCGCTCCGCCTCTGTTCGGTTCCCAGTGCCATTGAGCTTGGTTGGATCGGCCCAGTCCCTGCGCAGCCTGGAAGTGCCCAAGGTTCTTCCTGGTTTTTGCACTCCCAGCCTTTGTCTCAGCCGATATGCATCGAAATCTGTGGAATCAACGGGCAACATTCTCGCAAGGGGCAATTCTCAAAAGAACTGTGTGTGTTCCTGTAGGACTTGTCTCTGCTCCCGTTTGAAAGAGAGCGCTGAGCTTTCAAAATCAGTGGCAGGGACAATTGCCAGTATTGCTTATCTGGTTGGCAACGAGAGGGGTATGACTGCAGCGATCAAATCTGGCGCTCTTCTTTCCGTTTGTTTTGATTTCGTCTCCTCGACACAGCAGCTTGCCAAACGATGAATTGTTATTCGTGTCGTTGCTTCCTGCCGGGCCTGTGTCTGTGACATGTTTCTGGGTCTCTGTGCGTATCTGCGGCGTGCTTGGGGGGGTTTGCTTCCTGGTGCCATTGCAGGTTGCTTCCCAGACCTCCTCTGATAAATTAGAATCGTCCAGTGGCAAGTCCCTCCGTCCCATGCATTGGCTCAGTTGCCGCTCTACTACGTCGTTGACTGGTTGTGGAGGAGACCCGAAGTCTGAAAATCATGATGGTGCTCTTGTCAGTCTCATTGTGCGCCCAGCACGCATCCCATGCAGAAAATGGCGAGCACACAAACCTGAGCCGGCGACCGATGCGAAGAAGGCCGACATAGTTGAGGGCTGGTGCTGGCGGAACACCTCGATGCTGACAGCAGGAGAAGCCTTCACCAAAGGAAACCAAGAAGCAAAAGTGAAGTGAAGTGAGAAGCATTGTTCCAAGGCACCCGAAAGCGGACAGCCTTTCTTAGCCGTAGCCATTCAAGCATGGACCCAACGGCTCGCCTCGTCATGGGAGGTTCATGGTGCAACAGGCTTATGTGCGACTTATAAGAACGATCTTAAGAAGCACATGGTTCGATGCGATCGAACTTTTGCAGAATGGGTTATGTAGCTGCACATGTTGCGATCGTCAGTCCTCCGAAAGTGTGTCCAAATGACGCTGCGTTCGAATACTCAGCATGTGTGTTCGACGATTTTTCCTTTAGATGCAGACGGCAACCCTGTGTCTTCGGCAGCTTTTAGGCTCAGTTGCTGAGCGTCGTGTAGTCCCGAACCCGAACAGTGTCGGACATGACGTCGCCTTGCAGGAAGATCTGCTCTTTCTGAATTTGGTGGATTGGGCTAGGGGTGGCTCAAGTGAAAGTGAGTGTATCGAGTGTCGTCAAGAGGCTCCATCTTTACTGCAGGCTCGTCAACACTCAAACGATGCGCATGAGTATTGGCTGCAGATCGCAACCGCGGGCAACCAATTCGAACGCTCGACAGGTCAAATAAAGTCGGTCAAAGTGAAAGGTCTTGGAAAAGAGTAGGTCTCGATGCACAGGTCAAGAGCACCACCTTTATCGTGGGAGATCGAGCGATTTACACCATTAAGATCCTTTAAGTGCCAAGACCTGCAACGTCCAAAATCAGACCAACCAGAAGACATTTGTTTGAGGTTGACGACACAGCCAAGTCTCAACGAGCGGAATTGGTGTCCAGTTCATGTGATGCTCTTCGAGAAGCCTGGCTGCTTGGCCAGGTCATTCACGGTTGCCCCCCAACACTGGAGAAGTGTGCAAAAAGGCTCGATGCTCTCACTCGTCCCCAGATCATCATGGGACTGTCGTAGGAGAAGTGATGTAGCTTCCGAAGATGAGGATACGATTGTGACGAGATTCCCGTTTCAAGAAGGCATCAGAAATGCAAGAGCTTTCAGCCCCTACGATGGGCTGCGAGACTACATCTCAAATCTGCAGTCCAAATGCATTTTGTTGTTGTTGGAGAGAATGGTTGCATACTTCAGAAGAGGCAGGTCGACACTGTGTGGCAATCATGACTTCAACTCCGCCTCAGGCTGTGCGGACCATGCTACTTTGGAGACAAGGGGTTTTTGGGCAACAGTCACGTGTGACCAGCACGCCTTCGAGCCCCCGCGTCACGAGCGCTGCTGTCCCAAGCAGGTCCGCACGTCGCCCGCTTTGCCGTATTTTGCAGTCAGTTCTATCCATGAGGCAGTCACCATCCCCTCAGCAAAGCTCCGGGTGGTCCTTCTCTGCTGCTTGCGCTTGCCGCTGCCGCTCGCCCCGCGAGTCTTGTGAGGCTGAATTCCTATCTAAGCCCGGGGTATGTTAGAATTACATAAATGCCAACAATCAAAAATTCAAAAAGGAATTCACAATAAGCCAAAATAGGAGGAACGTGGCACACAAATGGGGCCGGTGCTCAACGCCACCTTCTATTGTCCTTCTATTTGGGTTTCTATTGCTTCCTATGTTATTTCTATGTTTCTCATTGTTGTTCCATTGTTCCCATTTTTTATTTTCATTTTTGGTAGGGCCCAATCTGCCTCAGATACATTTCCTATCTAAGGCAGACGGGAGGTTCAAAAAAAGTAAACTAGACTACAAATAGGAAAAATCGAAGCCAAAGTAAACCAGAAATTGAAGTTGACATCAAGGCGACGTCCAACTTTGGTTTTATTTTCCTTCCCATATCAGTCATAGGTCTTCATGGTTCATGATTCCTTGCCGCTTGTACAGCTAGCTACCCGGGAGGTTCACACTTGTTTGGGGCGGTTTCTCGGGAACAGGCATCTCAGCTGCTTCTGCTTGGCATGTCTGCACCGGGTGCAATCGATGCAGTCACTCAAAGGAGGCATAACTTCCAACGCATCACAGGCAGAGATTAATTTCGGGGTCTGAATAATTAGCTGTATTTTTGCCATACCGCTACAGAGCCGGAACGAACCCTCCTCAGAGACGCATGTTCGCATGGCATCCGAGGACGGAAGTGCAACAATCTTCACAATCAGCCGCAGCTGTTTATGCGTGAACACTTGGGAATGTGGTTTGGACACGGCTTCTTTCAGAACCTCCATGTTGGAGACGCGGCTGAGGTAATAGTGTGGGATCCCAGTAATTAATGTTTCGGCAAACATCGAGCCTGAAAGCCACCCAGTTTTCGAAGGGATGCTTGTCAGCCAAGCTGTATGTAGACAGGAGCAACTGAGAAGCAGTGCATGCGTCTAAGATGCGCGAACCTTGCGACGGGCTTTGATGAGAGTATGCTTCCCAACTTGACTGAGAGCTTGAAAATTGGCTCTGCCAGAGCCGCCGTCGATTGAGCTCGGGCCCAATATGCCCAGATTCATCCTGCAGGCTTCCCAAACGGATCAAAGAGGATTTGCATTCAATCGGATGACCATGAGGCTTCATTGCGTTGAACGAGCAGCATGCTTCGACTTTGCGAATTGAAACACAGTCCATAATCTCCGCAAGCTCGACCAATGCAGCCCCGATGGGTTTCAGCTAGGGACGCGGTGAAAGCAACAACCATGGTGTCATGTGAGTACACAAGCTACTTGGAGGCCTGAATAGAAAAATGAACGGAGATTCGGTGCCCAAAAACTAAACGCCAAAATTATCCAACATGTACTTTGGGTTGCCATGACATGCGCTTGAATCTCGAGCGTTCCGCAACATGTCCTGAGAATTGAGCTCGGAACGCTTCTAGTAATTTTGTCCTCCCATGCATTCCCATTCCATTTCCCCTACTTCCCAAGCTGCCCTTGAAGTCCCTGCATATCCTTGCATGCTTCGTCGTGGACCTATGCAGTGCAGTTGTGTTCTGGGCTTCTAAGTTCAAGCTGCAGGAGAGAATCAGGGGAGAGGTGGTCGACAAGAGCCATGCAAGCCTGAAAAATTTCCCCAGATTTATCTTGAATATTCACGACCCTGTTCGGATGAAGAATCAGCATGGTGACGCATTCTTGCATGAAACAAAGGTCGGCGAAAGCTTCGTTGTGCTCGTCGTGTGCAGCGTGTGACCAGTTTCATGGTGCAGAAATCCACACACAGGTTCCTCATAGTGTCTTCGTGTAGTGCCGGATGTTGGATTTGGGCCTGCCGTGCTGCTCCGGCCGAGCCTGTCGGCTTCCTGGATATGAAGTTCCATCGTTGCTGGCACCGCGACACCTCAGCAGCTGTGGAGCAAAGCAGCGCAGTCGTCGAAGCAGTCGATTGTCGCAGCCGTGCGTTATTCGCAAGAGAATCCAACGCAGTTGCCAGGATGCGGTGGAAGTGATCGCATTGCGTCCTGCAGCATTTCGCCGAACTGCTCGACGTGTCGCCCTTGTGATGCTTTACGGTGTTTCGATCATATTTGCAAGGCGATCATGGGGATGGCTGTTGGCTGCAGGAACTATCACGGCACATTTGTTCCTGGCAGGCTTTTGGACAACTTCTGCATGGGCACGATGTCGTTTAGATTTTCGCCGCGCTGCAAAGGCCAGCTCGGGAAGTTGGGTTTTGGTGCTTCCAGAACCTGGAAAAGCTGCACTTCGAAGATTATGGCCCCTGAGTTCTGAACTGCGCTTCAGATACCACGGGCAGCAATACAAGCTGCTCGAAACGGGTGCAAGAGGCACAAACCTGCTTGCGGCTGCTGTCCCGCAGCAAAGTGAGACACTGCTTGTTCTGTGCCAGCGCAGACACGAGGGCCTTACAGAGGCTGAGGCAACGGAAAGACGACGGCAGTATGGCAGCAATGATTACAGGATTGCTGTACCGCAGGTACGACAGTTGGTACTTTCGCGATTGCTTCGGCCAATCTTCCTGTTCGAGTTGGCATCTGTCTTTTTGTGGGGCCTGGATGGTTATTGGCAGTTCACAGTCCTCTCCCTCGGGACGTTGCTGTGTTTCGAGGTTGGTGCGGCCATGTCGCGGCACAAGTCTTTAGCACAATTACGAGCCACGGCTTCTGCATCTAAGGAGGTCTTTGTACTCCGTTCGGGTGAGTGGATTCTCAAAGCGGCCGTGGATCTTGTGCCGGGTGACATAATGCAAGTGCCGCCAAATAGTGACGTGCCTTGTGACGCACTTCTGCTGGATGGGTCAGTCACTGTAAGTGAAGCTGCCTTCTCTGGCGAATCTGCACCCGTAGCGAAGTCCGCAGCCCTCCCCGAAGCCCGGAAACCAGAAGCGAGGGATGCACACCATTTTCTATATGCAGGCACCAGGGTTCTTGCAGCTCGAGCCAAGAAGGATGCGACATGCACTTGTGCCGTCTTGCAGACTGGATTTCATTGCAAGCAGGGTTTGTTAATGCGGAGGGCGATCGCCAGTCAAGAGAACATCCGCGACAAAGACACCTTGAAAGTGGTACTTCTGCTGCTCGGCTTCGCAAGTATTGCGGCACTGCAAATTGCATTTCACGGGAAAGGATCGAACGGTTGGCTGAAGATCAGCATCATCCTCAGCTTCGTGATACAGCCAACCCTGCCGTTGCTTATGACCTACGCGGTACAGCGCGCAATGGAGGTTCTTCGAACAAAGGAAATCATTTGCGCAGAGCCTTTGCGCATCCTGGAAGCTGCATCAATGACAACCTGCTTGTTCGACAAGACGGGAACACTGACCAGTGACAAGCTGGAAGCCGCTGGAGTCATGTTGCCCCAGCAGTTTGCAGAAGCAACGAGCTCTCTTGGAAGACTTACATCGTTGCGGGACTTGTCTCCGACCGAACCGGCACACCAAATCCTGCAAAGTTGCCACAGTGCCACGATGGAGAATGGGAAACTTCTCGGAGACCCTTTGGAGACCGCCGCGCTAGAGGACTTAGGCCCGAATGCGGTCCTTTTCTGCCGATGCATTGTTATTATTGTTGATCTGCAAAATCCCAGATGCCCATAGATACCCTACGTTTCTAGTCAGCCATCGTTGCGGCCATACTGCGGACAGGCTTTCTCCAAGAACAGTTCCGCTCTAGGTGCTTTGGAGCTTCCGCCTTCTGCCCATCGGTTCGAGTTTGATCCCAAGTTAAGACGCATGACTGCCGTCAGCTCAGCTTCGGGACCCCACAGACAGAAGGTGATGCCCCGGCATTCGACCACACACGTGCTACAGGTCCTGATGGAAAGCAACTCGCAAGCACTGGTGTTGTGCAAGGGTGCTCCGGAGGCAAGGCATCGCGGGAGAGAGAGAGAGAGAGAGACAGAGCGACCCCTATCTCATCCTTTTACCGCCAAATTTGTTGCTGACTGAAGATCTGAGACCATAGTTGCCTTGGTGGCGCGTGCATTTAATCCTACTACTCGCCCCGTAACATACCGGGGCGCTTGATGCGCGCGGGCAGAGGGCAACCTCTGCCCACAGCCCTGGCGAAAGAAAGACAGAGCGACATGTTGGCTCCTGCTTCACGCCTCTCAAGTCGTATGTGACTAGCATTTCTGGTAGCAATCCAAGGCACAGAAGAAAGTGCCCACCAATCAGCAGCGCCCAAGCACGCGATGCTCTTTTGCTGCTGCGCCTTCGTACTGCCTGCACGAAAGAAAGAGTGAAAGAGAGAGAGACTGAGTGGGCAACAAGGCATCTTGCGGCATGGGATGGTAAACGTCATGCATTCCCGCAGAGGCACTGTCACCGCTGCTGCTCGATGCCCCCAGCAACTACGATGAAGTCGCTTCCTTCTTTGGCGTACTTGGGTTGAGGGTGCTCGCACTTGCATGGAAGGCATTGGGCTTAGATGTGACGCTTGCGAGAGCCTTGCCAACCGATAGTCTTGTGGAGCTTATGCGAGTGTTCTTTTATTGGTTGCATGTTTACCGCATCAGTGGGGTTTTGAGCTTTCCAGAAAATGATCTTACCCCTCACCCTCGCCTCGTCGCTTCTCCCGGCCAGTTCCATCCACTTTCCGCTTTCGCACACACGCATTCATCGACTCGCTCGCAGTTAGATGACACAGATGCCCAAATAAACCATTCACGGCCACTTTTCAACTATGCCGCTATCTTCGCAACCCGCCGGGGGCCTACTTTCCACGCGATCATTTCCTTGCGAAGGGCTAGGTGTAAGAAATGCGATCAAATGCGATCAATCACCATCGCCAGTGAGGCTTGGTAAGGGGGGGTCGGGGGCGGGTTCAAGTTAAGCGACCAATCGTCCGATCGGCGGGGGGGGGGCTGTACCAGTAGATCCTAAACCCTCAAGCCTTGAACCCAGACCTTCTGCCGGTAGGCCGACGAACGGGGCCCATCCAAATTTCCCGGCTGTGCGGGGTCTCCGCGCCTGTCCAGGAGAGAGGCCCATTTGCCGTACATGGAGGCACAACGGCTAACCGGGACGGCCAGAATCAAACCTGGGATGAATCAACGTACCACCTTTTGCTCAATCAGCAATGTTTGTGATCTGTTTGAATCAGCCACTTGAGCCACATCTTGAAGACTTATTGGCTGTGGGACTTGTCTCAACAAGCTTCGGCAAAGGCGAAACATGGTCTGTGCAATGGTCAGCACTTGGAACTTGGACTTTGGGAATGTGTGAAACGTCGTAGATCACAAATACTCGCGGATCATGTGTGCTGGAGGTGCCAAAGCACAACACCAGAAGAGCAGAACTTTGGACTTCATCGGAAAAGTAAACCACATTCTCGATCTGCTGGTACCGGTATGAAGCCGGGTGGTGAGGCATTCGACGAAGATGTGGAGTTGATTTCCATGGCAAGAGAGGCATTGCATCCTTTTACAAATACCAGTATCTATGAAGCCTGCGCGAATCTGCACGACAGGAGGCCGAAGCAGAACTTCACTTTGCTGGCTTCATCGCATTCCAGAATCGCTGCAAGGCCGAGGCTCCCGAGGCAGCGAAGAGGGTCGGTCTTCTTGGAAGCGTGAAGCCTCAGTTGAAGATGAAGGCCTCTTGCCTTCGAGTGTCCAACGAATCCGGAAGATTTAGCAATTCTTGGGAGCAAGCCACGTTTACCAACCTTCAGAAAAGGTTCAGGGTACGCGATATGGTGCTGCAATTCCTACGATGTTTGCAGGAGTTGTTGACCGCCCAGAGCACAAGAATCGTGCTCCTGGTAATCGAAGCGGCAAAGTAGAGAGGAAAGATATAAGTACCAGCAGCAGCATTTTAGTAGCGGAACCACTGGTAAATACAGCGACTCAGATGGGAAAGGGTGGCAATGTTTCTGGCTCAGGACGGAAATGGCTGTCAAAGGAGCAAAAAGGGCTCTGAGAGCATGGTGAATGCCTTGCCGTGTTTCTTGCCCAGGCACTTCGCATGTTGCGCCTCGCCGGTGTCCGGTGCGCAGGACAGGACATCTGCATGCATATGCATGCGTCCGTGGCTCCTTCGTGCTGTGCAGTAGTGACCGGGGATGCTTTGGACACCGCAACGCACGCCGCCTGCGAAGCCGGCCTGCTCCATTCGCCCGAGGCCGAGGCCGGTGAAAAAAGGAAGTTTCTTTTAATCTTTTATCTGGTTTTTGTTTGAGAACAGCTGTGGAAGGGAGACTATTTCCGTTATATATATATACACACACACACACACACACCGGTTTGTGCCTTCTCAGACAGGTGTCGCGAACTTTCGTCTTTTCCTCCTGCTCCAACACTCGTGCAGTAAAAGATCCGCCGTAGGGACTTGATATGTTTGCTTTTCGCACCCATCGGGTTAGCGAAAGCTGCGAGGGGGCACATAAACCGGCATAACTGAAAAGTTGCCACAAGCCTGTAGAACTTTCGTGGTGAGGCTGTCACCGGCCTGAGTCTTAGCTTACACGTCTGCATTCATCGTGTACTGATTGGTGGCTACACAACTTTGTACATCTCCTTGTGCCAGTCAATAAGTGATGGGGGCGTCACGGCTCGCAGGACATGCAGTTCAACCGGCGAACTATGGAACCAGCCCCAATCGTCGAACTGCGTGGTGGAAGCTGGTGGGAACGGAGCCTTCCTACTGATTCACATGCTGCACAGCCTTGTTTTCCTTTGTCTGCAGCAGAAGACCTTTACCAACGAGGCAGAATCCTTGCTGCGACTGAGCTGGAATTGGAGAAAATTGGACAGGCGGCTTGGGCGACCGCAAGATACGCCACAGTCTTGGCACGAATGTCGCCGCCTGGCAAAGCGAAGCTGGTGGAGATTCTTAGGCAGGACGACCGTGTTGTAATGGTCGGGGACGGAGGCAATGATGTTGGTGCTTTAGCTGCTGCCGATGCGGGGATAGCCATATGGCCAACAGAGCATCCTTTGGACACTGACTTCTTCTTCGACGACTGGGCAATGCGCACGCGGTGGCAGAGGTTGCAGCGAGAGAACGCGCAAGCCTTCCAGCGCAAGATCAGTCAGAACATCGAGGAACAGAGGTCATGGTACGTCCAGGAGGTCGAGCGCCGACGACGAGCAGGCCAGACGCTGGACTGGCAGCAGTTGGTTAAGCTGCTCAGACAGGGTCAGCGTCGTTTGGCGGAAGAGACCCGAAAAGCCAAAGCAGACCAGGGAGCAGATCAAGCAGACCAAGCATCGGCGGTGGCACCCTTCACTTCTCGAACACTCCTGGCTGTGCCGGAGATGCTGCGCCAGGGACAATGCACAAGTTGCTCTATGGTCATGCAAACGCAACAGTTGGTGCTCAGCCGCCCGGACAGAACCACCTGTTGCAGCCACTTATCATTCCGAACATCGATTGGGCAGCTCGGTTCTGTCATGCTTGAAATTGTGGCATGAGGTACAATCATTGCCATGTGGCGGTATGCAGCTCTGTCTGTTGAGGGCGCTCGGCAATCAGAAGCTTGGTGAGAGCACGTCTGTGTGGTACACGTTTGGGCTGTACGGCCTTGGCGTCTTGTGGGGCATACTTGGTCTTTGCACGCTGTGGTTTATCTAGTGGTCTTCAGCTCGCGTTGTTGGCTGAAAGGAAAAGATGGGTAGGGTGCAGTTGTGGTAGGAAGGGTAACAAACACCAACTACTTCGGCTGGCCCTGTTGTGTCCCATGTGCTTGGACTCGTCGTGCTATCTGTCGCGCACCATCTCGCACGGAAGATAGCTTGCTGTTGACGTTATGCCGCACCCTCTTGATGCCCACACAAGTCGCATGTTGCCTGCGATGAAGGGCACACAAGCAAACTCAGCCAAGGAGATCCAAATGATCTTCTCCAACTTTGCATTCTCCATTGCTTTTGCCGGCTTCATAAATGCGAAGGCCTTGGCTCGGCTGGGGGTTGGTCCTTTATGATGAGCAGTGCTACAAAGATTTAGAAAGTGTGTGGACTTTTGGCACTGTGAGCTTAGGGATGGCACTGTCCTGATGCCTTGAGTTTGCTTGTCCTCACATTTCGCGATATTCCCTTCCTCTCTCTCTCTCTCTCTCTCTTTTTCGCTCTGATGCAGATAACCCTTGCCAACCTATTTCCACGCAAAACACAGGGCAAAAGCGGAGGACAGGAGAAGCCTGATTGCCAATGCATGTCCCGTCATGGTGTTTCCAGCAGGTCCCACAGGTTTGGAACGTACCACAGCTGAACGTTACTTGTACAATAGCAGGTATGTCGTCAATGTGAACTACTTTCCACCCAGGGGGATCCCCCGCTTGCTTAGTAGATCCCGCAATGCTTTTGATGTTCTTGTACCTGGCTGCACATTGACAGTGAGTCGCTGTGATTGTGACAAACTAAAGCAATCCGATGTTGAGGCACACTGTGAAAGAATCCAACAAAATCATCAATCAAAGACAAGAACATATGTTCGAGTGTGTCGCGAAGAAACACGTGCAACTTGTGCCGAATCTGAAGCAAAAGATAGCGATCCAAAGTGCTGCGGAAGACACGTGTCTATCATCTGCTCCATACCAAAAGCTATACCAGACAGCAACTTGTCTGTAATCGTGGCACTGTACACAATGACACTGCGTCCTTTGCATTATTCTTTTTTGCTTTGAGAATTCGAATCCTCGTGGTAGACGGCCATCAGCATTGATGCCCCAAGCATACGTCTTGCCAGTATGACATGGGATCGAAGCATGAGTTTGCATCTGGCACCGCTCCGGCGATCCTTGAACCGGCACAAAATTACACAGAAATCGTGTTATCCTGCCAGACGTTGAGAAAGGACTGGAGTTTGAGATAAAACCGATGACAAAAAATCATGAGGCGTGTAGCTTGATGACCAGCAAGATGAAACACAAGATGTTGCTGAAGTTGACGCAAAAGAGAGCTCAAAACATTTGTCTTGTAGGGGTGGAAATCATATCAGAGAGTTTGCCGATGCTGGCTCCACTGCTGAGGCATGCAGTCGTTCCAAATTTTATTCAAAGACATGTCAAGAGCTTCGGTTGAGTCGCTGTGAAGCTAGGATGGTGGTGGGGGCAACAACCCCTCAGTTGACGCCCAGAGGGAAAAGCCACACTGACAGCACAACACACTTGAAGCAGACCTCTTGGTCTGGCATGTCGCCGGTGATGTGGCTTTGTTTCTTTGGCGGTATTTCTGATCTGCTGCTTTTCTTTTTTCAGTCTCGACGGGATTCCAGGCTAGTCTACACGGACATGCACGCAAGAAGCATTCACAGACTGACATGTACTCAGGCAGGGTTCACAGATCGCAGCAACCGGACACGAGGAAAATGTGCCATCACGGGATGACCACCAGCTGGAGTAACTCTCCCCTGGTGCGCCATTTCAAGAGGTATGTTTATACATCCTCGCACTTGTGGTCTTCGTTGGCTGAGGCACAGGTGAAGGATCCTCAGCCCCCGGCTTTTTCATGATCATGTTGTTGGATTCAAAGGCTGTTTAATAGCCCTTCGACACAGGGATGGTACACACACACACACACGCACACTCCCTCTCTCTATCTCGCGTCTCTCGCTGTGTCCAGGCTCCGCGACAACCCGCTCGTGTTCGCCCGGCGACCAGTATTTTTGAGCCTGCGACAATTCTGAGCACACTTGGGCAAGCTCTGGTGCCTTGTGAAGCAGCACAAAGCATGCACTTACAGTTTGACTTGGTTGCGACGGCCTCTTCTAGGTTTCCGCTGCCTGATGCTGCCATGACAAACAAGCAAGGTGCATGTTTGGGTCCTTTGTCGGGCTGTGTCTTGGGCTAAGGACCCTTCGCTTCATTGCTTGTGCTGCAACCCGTGGTTGTAAAGGCATTCATCGGCTGCTCATAAACTACTGTCCCTGATTGCCTTGCAGGAATTGATGGGCCCTGCAGCAATGGCGGATCTGTTGAAATTTCCAGAGTGGGCACAGGCTCGATCCGCCGCTGTCGCTTGTCATCAGGCCTTGCTGCATCTTAACGCACTGCAGTGCCTTTCCTGCAAGGCACAGCCCTTCGACTTTTGGGATGCCATTTCTCCTGGAGCTCTGTTTTCGCGACCTTTCAGGCAAGAGGGCAGTGCAGCGGCCATGGCAGGGTGAAGACCGTTATCTTCTGGCATCAAGCTTTTCTCGGACAGACCAGAAGAGCTCGCAGAGGCCGAATCTGCTCAACAGCGTCGTCTTCTATGTTGAGTTGGTGCAAGGCATGAATGAAATCAGGGAGGTTGCCTGTCATTGACATTTGAGGAGGGTTGCGACAGGAAAGCAGTAGCTCGCTCAAGTGGCGACCTGTCGCGACTTGGAGTTACCAGCAGCCTGAACAGGTATAGCCATTCTGCTCGTGAACTACAAGGGAAGACCATGGATACAGGTGCCTGGATTCTGCCAATCCTAGTTGATCTTTAATCCTGCAGATCCCTGCAGTTGGAGATCTCGCATAGCCCGGATCAAATGGTGACTATACACACCATGCTCAACAGGCATCCACGCTGAAACATTCACTAGCGGATTCTCAACAAGCATAAGAAGTACTCAGTACTCAATATCACACCTTCTCGCTGTAAAATCCAGAGGCTGTTCACCACTTGTCCGCCAAAGAAGCTTTGAGGTTGAAACTTCATATGGCCATCTTAAGTGCGCATGGTGCTCCTGTTTTCGGAGCCGTGTTAGTTGTCTGTAGCGCAGGTTTATCGGAGTGACTCTGGGCTGTGCTCACGCAGGGCATTCTGGAGAACCCACCCCTCCTTGCAGCTGCTGCATCGGCCCTGGCCTTGGCTGCTGCCGGCGCGACTGGTTGGTCCCAGGCTGGTATTCGGGCCGTGGTCTCAGACACTGCACTCCTGAAGGGCGTCGTCAGCCGAAGCTATGTCCACTGCTGCGTTGTCATACCATCATCGCTGGCTTAAACTATACAGGTTGTAGTTGGGCGGGGGAGGGAAGCGTCCAACACCGCAAGAGAAGACCGTGGGAAGAAGAAGAGCTAGAATCCAGAAGAGTGAAGCGTACTCGTCGACGGGGAAGACTGTCTTAGTGCCGCCCTCCTGGGCAAATCGTTCGACAGTCAACCTATGTCAACCTCGAACGACTTCCTATTAAGCAAGCGCACGCAGTGTCGCAAGGCGCTCCAGCTCACGACACTACCACCTTTGCTTCAAGAATGCCGCTCAGTTTCGTCGTTTCCATGCCGAGCAACCAGACGCAGGCATGCCGCGCAAGTCTTGAACACAAGGTCAGGCTTTCCGCCTTGATATTCCTCTCGCTCTTGGGCACATGGGTTCTGGACAGAAGCTTGGAGGCCGAGCTTATCGCCTGATGCACCTAATGGCTGTCACGATCAGCCAGGGAAAGGGTTAAAGGAATGAGGCATGCGAGCAGTTCACTGCAAACGCCGCTGCTGCACAGGCGTTTCTTTGCAGGGATCGAGCCATCGCAAGGCACCACTGTGGTTGGGCGGTTGGTACTTGCCTTTCGCAGAACTACTCTGCTGTGGTTACTCCTTTGTCTAGACTAACAGGATACGGGAAGTAGACGGTCATTCCACACAAATGCGGTCGCAACAGCAGGTGGGAAGCGCCTGTTGCCCAAGCCTCAGATGAGAAAGCCCATCAGAGCTAAATTTCCGAGCGCTGTGGTGACAGAAGTTGCCACTGGAATGCGCTTAGGCTGTCCCAGATCTGAAACCGTGGCTCGTCGGAGTCGCCAAAGTCGCGGTAAGCGCCGGAAGCCGAAGTTGCAGACACTGCCGACACTTGTACGTTGTCACATGCAGGTACGGTATTTGCCGTGGCTGCTCTGGGTCTTGTTGGTGCTCTCGGGAGACATGCTGCTGTGGATAGTGGCGTGGCAGCTGTGGCGGGCTTAGCACTTGAGACTTACTGGGCTCAGAGACGAATGGCAGGCCTTGCGAAACCGCACGAGCCAGTACAAGCCACAAGTCTTGGAGCCAGGCTGTGCGCGATAATCCGTGTCCGCACGGATGTTTAACCACTAGGCTATCCCATCCAGGTTGGGTGCACAGTGGCATTTTGGAAGAAGAAGGCTGCAGAAGTCACTTACACTTTTTCAGCCAAGCCTAGCTCACACGAGACCCCTGGGTTTCATTTGGTTGTTTTCAACCAGTGCATTTCATGCACAAGATGCCCAAAACGGAGAATCGGATTGCACCTTGCCTGCAACCCGCCTTCACCGGCAAATTGCTGCCGGATGGTGCGTTTTCTACACAAGACTACCCAAACAGGAGACCGGACTTTACCTACGAAAAAAGCCTGTCGTCACAAGCAAAATGCCATCGTCGTGCGTAAAATTATTGCTCGTTGCCGTCCGTTTTTTTTTTTTTTTTTTTTTTTTTTT